TTAAGATATGTTTATTTCTTCTTTATCATGCCTGACTATCTTAAGGTTCTCTCATTATAATTTCTGTTCCATCCCAGTTTTCCTGTCGGCAGAGACATTATATTTATTACATAAAGCAAGACAAGAGCTACAACCAAACACAATTAAAATTGAGTCTGATAAATGATGCTTTCTTAATTTTAAAGTTCTTCTATTCTTGGTAGACATACCATCTATTTCCTTTCTGTCACAATGGCATAAAAGTGGGCAGAAAAATATTAGTAATTCTCACAGATCATACAGGTTCAAGATTTAGGCTGAGATTTAGGCTTAATATGAGGTAGTTACTCTTCACATTTTGGTACCATTTGCTGAGATGGCACGTCCTCAGAGGAGACAGTTCTGTGGAGAAACCTGACCAGTTTTCCCTTGTGGATCATTAGATCATAGGCCCTGCAGTGAGAAAGTACTAGGAAATATCGACAAAATGCCATGTGATAAAACAGCTTATGGGCAATGTGAATGGGTAGAAGAAAATGTTGTAGCCCACATTGCTGGGGAATCTGTTGGGTCCAGCCAACCTGATAGGGGGAGTATGGATTGAGGAAAGGAATTAGACAAGAGACAGGAGATAAGAGAGGTCATTCAGTGAATACTGAACCACCCATGTTTATTGTTCAAAGTCTCTTTATACCCCCATCAAAAGACGGGGAGAAGGCAAAAGAATTCCTTACCAATATCCAAAGAACAAGCAAGCATAATTACCTTCTCATTAACCCAAACGCCAAATAATCATATCCCGAGTTGCATATTCTCTTATTCAGGCAGGACAGGCATCAACCACATCCTAGGCCAAATATCCTATTGCATTCATATCTTAGACCAGGCATTCTGTTGTCAAAAGTAAGACGAAGAATAGCCACACCCTAGGCCAAACATTCTGTGGTTTGACCTTGAAGGAGAAATAGTAGGCTCGAACTCTCTGACCTCATGTCAAGATGGAATGGAATCTATTCTATGGGTTCCCATAAGACCACAGGCTTCTGTTTGCAGGAAGACTCCAGTAGTCCTTGCATCCATCACCTTGGGCACATCAAGAGCTAGGAAATGGCTTCTCTGCTGATACCTGTGGTTCAGCTTTACATCCTCATGCAACATGGAAGTGATAGCAGTCGGTAATGCTTACTGAGGATTTCATAACTGGGAAACTAAACCTAGAGCCTCCTGTGGACCATTTCATTGATTTCCCACGGCAGTCCTCGAAGATAACAATGACTCCCCTCTCCCCATTGTGTCAATGGAGAACCAGAGATTAAAGAGGTCGAATTTCTTGCCCAGGGTCAGAGAGTCAGGAAGTTTCACACTTGACCAAAATCAGACCCAGCTCTCCTAACCACAATTTGAAGCTGCCAAGCAGAACTGAGACAGTCAGTGCAGCAGAGGTGTCCAGGGTAGATGGATGATGGATATACCTGGCCCAGGAACTCACCGGCCAAAGAGATGTTAGTGATATATTTGATTTCTTCTTCTCAAATTTTGAACAGCTGTGAGGTGTTTAGAATATTGAGTCCAGTAACAGTATATATAAATAACCTGAACTTGATCCCCTTTGATTTTATTTTTGGATGCCATACCTTTGTTCTTTCTTTATTTCGGCTAAGCCTCTACTGCATGTTCCCTAAGCAGCAGAATGATCCATTTCAGAAGCATATTTTATGCGATGCTGACACCAGCTGTTCCATGGAGACCTTCAGGCTCCTGCCAGAGTGTAATTGGCACCCAGGAGCAAGCAGGCTCCAAAGCACCAAAAAAGCAAATGTGTTTAGCAATAAGTCTTTATCTCAGCATGAAAAAAAGCAATAAATTGTGATAAGTCTGAGCAGCTAGTCTCCAAACACACATACAAAATTTATTATGCGAAGGCTTAGCCTATTGCCAAAAAGGAAGACAATAGTGCTGTCATTTTAACAGCCTCCCTATAACTTGGGTTTTTTTATATGAACAAAGAGGAGAATTTCTGGAGTTTGTATTGTGGATATAAACACACTTGAAAGAAATGGAGAGCATGAAGAAAAAATGATCCATTATTTACTCTTTTTAAGCCTCCAAAAATTCCACTGAATTAGGGAATTATACTTTTTATGTTGGCCAAGATTATGACAATGGAATAGTTAGACTCATAATTTATATCTTCTCAATAAAAATTACAAATTTATGTATCAGAATATCAACAAAACAATGTATGGGACATGAAAGAAAAGGGGTCATATGCTTGGAGGAAGGGGAACAGTGAGGCATGATGGGAAACAAGGAAGATAATGATGAGACGAGGACAGACAAATCATGACAGTATACACTCATGAAAACATCTTAACCAGAACTATTATTTGCATACTAAAATCAATAAAAATATAGAGAAATAGGTGTGAGTATATTACTTAAGTTTGCCTAAGGAGAATCTCATCTTCTATAAATGACTTTGTGGATCTTTACTATCACTCAGAGAACCACAGCGTGGACAATCAATGAATCTGAAGATTACCTCTCTCCAGGACAGTGCTCTCCAGTGAGAAGTTTTAGATGCTTCCAGGCAGGGAGATGTTTCTACAAAATAGTAGTCTATGTGGCTCATCTTTTCGATATTAGACTTTTTAACAGGAAATTTGCCATGTTCCCAATAATCTTAGAATTACCAGGATATGCTAGGACTTTATCTTAGATTACATTCTTCCCAGTAGTCTCATACAATGGTCCATTAGCTGTCATTTAAATGCACTTCATTTGAAATACTCTTACCTCTTTTGGTTTTGTTTCTTCTGACATGTTGTCCCACCAAGCCCCAGTTTGTCTGTAACTTACTAACTAGCCTCAAATTCATGGTTATCCCCTGCCTCTGTCCAGAGTGCCAGGTTTTATAAACTCATGCAACTTTTCCCAGCTCACTTTTATCTTGTAACAGAGAGGAATTTGGCTTTATTCTGCCTAATAAATGTATTATTTATGTCCACTATCATTCTAACTGAAAGCTTATGTTTAAAATTATAAAAAATTATTTAACTCATTTATGTCACTTGTTACTTTACTAAAATCCTGAGAAAAATCACACCCTAGTTCAGGGGTTTTCTTAAACAGTTACAATGAATAACATAGCTTGTGTTGTCTTGCCTTACACATTATGTCAGACAAATCTTTGAGCTCTTCTGACATTTCCTCAGATGGAGTGTCTCCATGGGGACACTGCCAGTGCCCATCTCAGCAGAGCCCCAAATCAGCCGCTCTCAGGAAGCTCTCATCTCATGCAATGAGAACATTGGCATCACCTTCAGCTTTCGTTGGGTACACAAGAGTTTCCACTCAAATGGGTTTCCTCTGTTCGGAAGAAGAGCTCTGGGATGGCTTCTGGAGTTACTTGAAATGAGAAGCTGTTTCTATCAGACCTGGCGTTCCTCACTTGGCCTTATAGATGTGCTGGAAGCGTTTTGCTTCCAGATATTTGGATCTAATTAATTACATATAATGGGACTGAAAACTAGAACAGCAGTGATGTCTACTCAGCCATCGTGTGAATCCTATGATGTTGCCTCTGACTGAACACTCATTTTAAACTCGTGTTTTGCAATAGAAGAATGAGTGGAAAGAGAGCATGGACACACTCACTTTGTAACTTGCAGAACTGAACCAGAAAAACGAGGTTACCCAAGAATAGAAAATCCAGACTCATCCACTTAGCGGAGACTCATCCACTGAGCACTTTCCCTGGGCACAGGTCTGCTAAGGTGACACAAATGGACTCCAGAATAAGTACCTGTTCACTTCAAGTTCAAAAATAATGTCATATTTAGGAGTTGGGATTCAGCTCAGAGGCACAGTGATTACCTAACATGCAAAGGAAACCTCTTAGTTTTATAGTAATTGAAATGAGTGTTAAAAAAGGAAATTCAGAAGCGAATTGACAAGCTAATTGTTCGTTGTATGGTTGTTATAGCTATCTACTTAGCAACTGTGACTCATTGAGAGCCAAAAAGGTGGTAAAAGAGAGAAAACTGAGTCTAGCAGTTCTCTTGCTAGTGAAGCAAAGTAATTATAGTAAAGCAAGTTTGTGAGGCCAGTGTGGTGATGCTGGTGACACATGCCTCACTTGTGGTCTGAGCAGCCCTTGGCAAGTGATATTGAGGCAGGAGGAGTGCCTAGAGTTAAGGCAAGCCTGGGCTACATAATACATCCCAGACCAACCTGGAATACATGGCCACATGCTGAGTCACCAACAGGAAGGAAGACAGCACAGATTAAAAAGGAAGGAAGGTAAAGAAAAGAGAAAGGATGTCTACAAGCCGTTGGAGAGTAAGCTAAGATGGACTACAAATGAACGGCGGAGAAATCGTAGGTGCATCAGCAACAGCAAAAGAAGCTGAGTCAAAGCACACAGACTATACTTGAAATCAATGAGGAGAAGTATCCTTAATTTCTATGTTGAGTGAGACATTCAGATACAAGAGAGCAAAAATTTAAGAACCACACAAAGACTATATCATCCCCAGATCTCACTGGATGAATTTATATCATTTGTAATTTTCAAAACGGAATCTGAACCCAAGGGGAAGGATTAAAGCAAGTGTTAACAGTACTAAAGGCGTTTGCAGTCTTGGGGAATTTGTTTTTTGACACATGGGTAGCTCTAAACAAACATCAACAGAGCGTGATGACACATTGATGAGGTGATGTAACCGTGCCTGATTCTGCACTTCCAAGTCAGTGTCATATTAAATAGTAGGCAATGAAGGACAGTATAGCCATTCTAAAATACTTTTACTAACCAAGAAAGACAATTTGGTGACACAACTAACAAAATCCACACTGTGAACTTCCGTGGGACTTTGCTACTGAAATGGGCTCACTGTTCCACCAATCATAAGTTTGAGACAGAGTAGAGGGCTTGGGAGGAGTTGGAAGGGGAGAGAGGGGCGGAAATGATGTACATATAATACCCAAGTAAGAAATTTAAAAATTAACTTATTAAAATTAAAAATATTGTGTTTGTTTTGGCAACACAAATGATGCAGAGAAGATTAGCATGACCATTGCACAAGGAAGACATGCAAATCTGTGGAGCATCCCATAATTTTTTATCACCTAAGCAAGGCACATATGGGCTCACAGAGACTAAAGCAGCAAGCACAGGGCCTGTATGTGTCTATACCAGGCCTCAAACACAGAGCCGGAATGGTCTACACCAGGCCTGAAGCACAGAGCCCAAATGGTCTACACCAGGCCTGAAGCACAGAGCCCGAATGGGTCTACACCAGGCCTCAAGCACAGGGCCTATATGTGTCTACACCAGGCCTCAAGCACAGAGCCGGAATGGGTCTACTCCAGGCCTCTGGATCTTGCACCTGCCCTTGGGGCAGTTTTCCCCCTGTTGGGCTTCCATGCCCAACTTCAATATGATCGCTTTTGCTTCATATAATTATATTTTATTTTGTCATGTTTGGTTTCTATCTCCTAGATAATGGGCAGAAAAGGAGTAGATCTGGAGGGGAGAGAAGCAGGGGAGGAACTGGGAGGAATAGAGGGATATATTGTGTGAGAAAAATACACTTTCAATAAAAAAGAAAATAATAAACTACTGAGATCATTTAATTTTGCTCCTATATACATGTGTTAAGGGCTCCTATATGCATACTATGGTTTGGATAACACATCAGCGGGCTTATCTCTGGAAAAAAAACCCTGATTCTCCCTTTCTCAGCTGTCATTGATTGCATAGATCATCTGTAGCTCTTTGTTTAGGGGTGGGCTTTTTGAAATTTTCCTCATTCACCTTGTCATGTTGACTGGTGTTGTCACTGTAGGTCTTGTTTAGACAACTCTGATGATGAGCTTCCCTGTCATGTCTAGAAGACACCATCTTAGAAGAGGTGTCCTGCTCTCTGGCTCCTAAAACCCTCCATCTTCTCTTCCTTGATTTTCCCTGAGCTCCAGGCACAGAGATTGTGTTGTAGATGTATCAGTTGTGGCGTTTTATGCTCTGTTTCCTCAGATCAGCGAAACAAAAGACAAACGGGGTGAGGATGGGTAGCCGTTTTTAACACAAGCATCTTTCAGGATGGAGTTTGCTTTACAAGGAAAATCCCCTTGACTGGCCTTAAACCGGGGTCATTTCTTACGTAATAAAGAAATCACACGTGCACATTCCGCTTTCTTCTTTATCGGCCGCCGTTTGGTGCGTGGGCTGTGATCTTGCCCTGTGGCCTGACGTTGGTGATGGATAGCTGTTAGCTTTGCAGGCGCTCTGACACTTTGCTGTGGTTAGCTGTGGTTATTTCAAGCCCTGTCGCCGAGCTGCCTCTAAAACCGCCTCCTTTTCCAGCCCTGAGGATGGACCGCCGGAGGATCGCCCATGGGAGGCCTTTTTAGTGGGCCCTTGGCACCAGCTGTGGCAGCCCTGGCTCTGGTTCTGAGCAGGGTTTTGAGCCAAATGAAATGATCCCATCGGGCTCTTTGATCTGATCCCACTTGGTCAGCTGGGAGAGCCAGCTTGCTCCCTTTCCAGTCTTGTGCAGATCCAGGTTGGCTGCGGGCCCTCTGCGGCCTCTTCTCAAGCCATGGGGTTCCAGCTCCTCTCAGCTGCTTGCGCTGACGTGGGCCCTTATTCTGGCACCCTCGTTGATCTATACTGCCCAGGGCTGGCCCAACTGCATTTTGCTTCCCTTCATGTTGTTAAGTTTCTTCACTCCTGGCAAGCTCCTGAATTCCCCAGCAAGCTTGAGGTGTAATCACATTTCAACTGCTGCTCTGATATGAGACACCAACTAAATGGAGATGAAAAGGCAGAAGTAGGTTTAGAGACAGAGCGCTCAAGCCAATGTGTGTTCCTCCGTGTACCACAGAGCCAGAAGATGACAGGCCCGCTGAGGTTTGGGTTTTAGGCTGAAGTTCGGAGTGGGTGAGACTTATGTTAGTGTGTGTGCTTGCAGTTCGTGTGAGCTTTAGGCTTGGAAGTTGGGAGAAGCCCCTTGGAACAGCTTGAGAAGGAGCTGCTGAAAGCTCCCCATAAACACGGGGAGTTAATGCGCATTGCTGCGAGAACACCAAAAAGGATTAGTCAAGCAGGATGTGAGGAAAACGTCCCGCAATCCCCTCCTGAAGGCAACATCCTTTCTTTGTCTCCTCAGCAGAACACTATACGGCGGTGCAAATCCATTTGTCGTATACTACACTGTGCTGTAATCCAGGCCTGTGTCTGCCTATGGTCGTATGAATGTATTAGATAGCAAACCAAAGGTCTCCGTGCCATGAATCTACTAGGCAGGAAGAGCATCTAAGCAGGACAAAAAATGCCAACAAGTGAGCTTGAAAAAGAGGTTATTAAAGAGAAGGGTTTCCATCCACCCGTTCTTTGATTACCAGCACTTAATGTAACACACACACACACACACACACACACACACACACACACACACACACACACACACAAGCCTGAGAAAGCCTTCCTGAGCATCTGTGTCCATATTTGCCTTTTTAAAACGCTTAGCTGTTTAAAGTCAGTAGGGTCATACTGGGGAGAGTGGACAGACGAAAGACAAAGTCCCATTTAAAAAAATAGGTAGAAAGGTCTTATTGAAGCCAGAAAGAACTTAAAATTATGCACTTGTTAAAAAGCAATAGTGAAAATGCAAACACACAAATATCTGGGTATGTGTCAGTTTCCTATCAGCACCAATCAAAACAAATGATGTGAACACACCACTCAAACATCTAGAAAAAGAGCAATGTGGTAAATCTAAAGAAAGTACAAAGTAGCCAATGTTGGCAAAAGTGGAAACCCATAGTTCGGAAAGAAAAAAGCTCAGTACTCATTTCAAGTTACTTGATTAATATCAAAATGGTGAAAACGTTCCATAATGTAATCCAAAAAGGAGAGGGGTGTGAGATAAAAAGAAAATGAAAAATCCAAAGGCAAACCCCAGCTGCTGTTTTATCCTACTGAACTTCCCCTTGGAGGAGGGGGCAAGTAGGTTCGAAGTCAATGACACAGACTCTGGGAGACTGTAGCAAAGCTTAGTTTACTTCAGGAAGGGGAAAAGCCTTAGACACCCCCACCCGTGTGTATGTGTGTGTGCGTGTGTGCGTGTGTGCGTGTGTGTGTGTATGTGTGTGTGTGTGGTGTGTGTGGTGTGTGTGTGTATGTGTGTGTGTGCGTGTGTGTGTGTGTGGTGTGTGTGCGTGCGTGTGTGTGTGTGTGTGTGGTGTGTGTGTGCGCGTGTGTGGGAAGCTGCAGCACTGGCAGCACGTGGCTGCTGGAGACTTGTTCAGGTCTCATGGCCCCACAGCTATTGCTGGCGCTGCCTTGGCAGACCTAGGTGGGCTCAATTTGGGGAAGGTTACCACTGCATGCACAGAGAGCCGTTTTAATCCGGTTTAGGTCAGTAAGGGCCCCTGGGCCCTTCATGCCTTGGCTAATATCTCACCACACCCACCTAAATAATTAATGAGTTCTATTTTCCTGTCTCTCTACCAATAGGTTATAAAACCTTGATTAGATCGGATAATGAAGAGGGGCCGAGAGATGGCTCAGGATTTAAGAGCACTTGCAGCTTTTGCAGAGGGCCCAAGTTTAGTTCCCAGTATTCACAGGGTAGCTCACAGCCATCTGCAACTCTGATTCCAGGGGAATCTGATGCCCTCCTGTGGCCTCCCCAGGCACTGCATGCACCTGGCACACAGACATACTGGCAGGCTAGACACCCATATACATAAGAAATAATAATAATAATAGTAATAATTAAAAATGAATAATGAAGAAAATTAACTTACCACAAATGACTTTGATAAAAGTATAATCCCCCCAAAACACCATAAACATAATCTCATACAGAGGAACATTAGACTTAGTTGATTTCACAGAAATATCTGTTATAACCATAATGATTCAAAAATCCAATGAATTAAAATATATCAGAATACATAGAAGATAAAGAAACCCTCTATTTTTATTTTCTGAATCTATTGTGTCATTGATTCCCAAAACTGACTATGATTGTAATAATAAAGCTACATATAATCTAAAAGATTGCCAACAGAATTAAATATTCATAAATTATTTAAGTTTAATGTGACATCAAAAAAGTTTCTCTGTAATTTTCAAATAAGAATAGACATGAAAGCAATAACAGAGAAAGAAAAAAAACGTGTGTGTACAATAGAAGCTCAGCTCACCATACTTGAGATTAATATATGTTAATATACAATAAAACTATATATGCAAATATATATGTATATATATATATGGCCTTGCAATTAAGGCAGTTTGTTAATGTTGCATGAGTACAAGAGATGATCAATGGAAGAGGCAGAGGCAGGCAGATCTCGGTGAGTTCGAGGCCAGCCTGGTCTACAGAGTGAGTTCCAGGACAGCCTCCAAAGCAATACAGAGAAACCTTGCCTTGAAAAACCAAAAAAAAAAAAAAAAAAAAAAAAAAAGAAAAAAAAAGAAAACCCAGCAATTAATAGAATTGTAAATGACTATTTATTGTGGCATAATGGCCAGCCACATCGTCTTAAAATTATTTTTGCCAGTGTCATACATGTACACAATGCATTCTGATCATAGCCACTTCCCTCTGCCTTCCCTCACCCTCTTCTTCTCCCTATAATTCCCTTTCTCCTTCCAGCCGGTCTCCTCCTACTTGCACATCTTTAATTTATGCAAATTTTATGCAGGTGTCCATTGCTGTTGTGTGTTCATGATTGTCATACCCAGAAAACAGTATTTTAGGAGTTCCTCTCCATCTTCTTACTCTTATGAGCTTTTCTTCCCCCATTCTGTAGCACTCTGTAGATGCAGTGGGCATTATAGATCTTCCAGTTGGGGCTGAGGGCTCAACAATCACAGGTTCTCATCCTTTGGACCAGTTATGGGTCGCCACACTAAGCAACACTCTGCAATAAGAGGCTTCAAGGATCAAGCACCTGACAATTGGAATGAGCACACACATTTGGAAGGCACTGTGAGTGACCTGTTTACAGGACTCCAGAACACGTTCTCGCCTAGATCCTGTTGCTCCCAGCCTTAAGCTTTCAACCAGGTTTCCAGAACTATGTATGCATACCTTTCTGTGGAATG